AATATATATTTATTATATTTTAAAAGGAGTTATTGTTTCGGGAGCCACGCGGGGTTGTTATTAACTCCGCCGCGACGAGCCCATTCATTTGCATCGCTGTGTTCCGCAGCAGTAAAAATTTACGAGTGCCTGGAAAGGTTAAATTAGACTATTGTGTTTAGTTTGGGAGCTCCCTGTAAATAATGGTGCGCCGCTGAGTTCAGAGCTAAACGGGGCTGCCGGGGAAAAGTCAAATCCAACCCGGCGCTCCTTCCCAAGGGGAGCGCGCCTCCTCCTCCTCCTCCCGCAAGCCCCAGCCCCGCAGAGGAGGGCGCAGGGAGCCGGGCCGAGGCACCCTCGCGCCCACAGTTTCCAAAGCCATGGCTGGCCAGCAGGGAGAGTCCACGCCGCCCACGCCGCCGCCCGGCCCACGCGGGATCCGCAGCCCGTGGCCCCAGAAATAACCCCCGCAGCAGCAGCATGCAAGCAGCATGCAAGCAGATACACGCGCGCACCCACACGCACACGGCTGCAACGACACCTTCCCATACTTGCCACCCGTGTCCCCTTCACCTGCACTTATTGGAGGTCATTTGGGGAAAGGTTTTTTTGGTTTTTTAAAAAAATCTGCCCAAGGACCAGCAGCCTGGGAGCGCCTGGGAACGAGGACCCTCTTGCACGTGTACAAGCCTCCCTCCCAAAAGAGAGCCGGGAGAGGACGCGGAGTGCCGCCGGGGAAAGAAAGTTGGATGAGGCCCCTCGATCAAGTTGACTGCGAGGCGGCTCCGCGCCGGTCGCTGCCTTCCCTCCGCTCTCCCCTCCCTGCGCTGCGCTGCGCCAGACGCCCCCGCGAAGTGTAACCACCCATTCGATCGCGAAGGGATGAAGAACGGCCGCGGCGGACTGTATATTAGCGACGGGCTGGGGCGGGGGGGGGGGGGGGGTTTCTTTCTTTCTTTCTTCTCTCTCTCTTTTTTGTCGCGAGGATTAATTTCCACGGCTGCGTGAGAGCGAGCGGGAGGATACAGCCCGCCCTTGCGCCTCAGTCTTCTTTCCCAGCAACCGGATCGGAAAGAAAAATGTGTAAACAGTTATTTATTTTCTGGCGCCTTCTCTGTTTGAGACGGGGGAGCATTGGGATTAAGCGGAAGGTTACAGCCTTCTGTGAGGGTAGAGAAATAGCCCGAAAGGTGATGCGGCCCACAGATCAAGTCCAGTGCTGCGAATTCGAGTAAGGGTTAAATGCGGGCTGTGTCTGACATGTGAATCCGTGTGCCCTTCCCCGGCGGATCCTTCGGCTGCCCTTGCTTCTGTTTTCTGGATTTCAAAAGCACTGAGACCCAAAACTGAGGGCGGGCGGGGGGGGGGAGAGGGAGAGAGAGGAGAAGAGAATTTTTTCCACAATTCTTTCTCTTCCCCCCACTTTTTTGGTCTGATTCGAACTAGAGACTGCCGAAGAGCCGGGAAACGGCGGGACTAATTCATTGCATGTGTGAAGAAGTGTGTTTCTCATTATTTGTACATGGCTGCAAGACCCTTTCCTCTGCTTTCGGATCTCCCCGAGAGCTAAACGCCGAGGGTGTCGCGGGGGAAGCGCTCACATTCCCAGACAGGTTTTTTGTTCTAATGGGGACGAGGTCTGTCTTCCGATTACCCGAAGCAACGGATGGTGCCCAGATCAAAGCGGGGCGATCCTGAAGAGCCTGGCAAGCCGGTGGCGACGCGCCCATCCCCCCCCGCCCATTAACTTGTATCAAAACGCAGACAAAGGTCTTGTCGAGGGGATTCCGGCCAAATTCCGACTTCGCTGCCACAGTAGGAAAGTCGCCCTCTTCTCAATACTGCTCTTTTCCTGTAGAGAGGGAAGCCTTACGTCATTTTTGTTTAAAATCGAGAGTCAGCTGTTGTGAAATATGTTGGCAGAACTTCCTTCCTCCTTGAAGGAGAAAAATAATCTGAACAGCAGGATTCCAGACTGTTTTCTTTTATTACATTTCGGGTTGGGAGCTGCCGTAGTGGTTCCATTTCTGATCAGCCGCCCCTGAAAGTAGCCGCAGAAGAAGAAAAAGGCTCCATTTACGCTAGAAGAGTAAACGGTCGATTTATTCCTTAAAAAAAAAAATTCCTAGCGGAGACACCATGACAATGAAAGAGTCTTCGGTGTCTTAAATAAACTGTTTAGGACATTAGGGCAGGGAGTAGCCGCAACGCGCTGGTGTGTGCTCGCTTCGCTTCCGAGGTTTACTTGCAAGACCAGATCCAGATTTTTATCAGTAGACTTCGTAATTCAGGTAGGCAATTTCATATAACAGCCACCGCAAATGTTAAAATACACGGTGGACGGGGAGGAAAAGGCGCGGCTTTCCTCTGGAGTCGTGAAAGGAAAGTCCATTCCGATCAATGTGAATCGCTTCCCAGTAAATACGCTTCGGGTCTGGGAGTTCAGGGATTCGACTGGAAAGACTTTGGCTCTCATCCTGAACCCAAATGTTTGGGATTTATTTTCAAGGAAGGGTGGTGAGGATTCCAGCCTTTGAATACAACCAACTAATTCGGTAAGGCTTTCGCTCAAGTGCTGACCTCGAGTCCACCTTAGTTTTCCTCCCAAATAACACGTTATGTTGCAATTATGTGTGATAGAACACTTTAAACCACACGACCGAAGTTTCCAAGTTCTATTTTGGTTTCATTTTTCGCAGATCCTGACCGATAAGACCATTTCCAGTCACATTCGATTGGAAATGCCCCAGTTCAATAGAAACACATCCCGAAATACTCGTTTAATATATATTTACATATTTATGCCTAAGAGGCAATTCATATTTGGCTAATTATTTTGTGGCATTCACGTACCACACATCCTCACGGACATCCCCAGCTGCCACAAAAGCCTGTTTTGGAAGAAACGGTCACGGAATTAAATTGGGGGGGGGAGGTGAACGGTCAAGAAATCAGGATATTACCCTGAACAATTCCAAGGAAACCCTGACAAGCAGAACCATTCCAGGCGGGTCTGTGCGGCCCGGCCCTCTGCATGCCTTCCCAAGTCGTAAACATTTATGTCTTCTCCATCCGAGCCTTACAATACATGGATATATATTCTGAAACGAACAGGTACACGAACACAGACAGACAGACAGACCTCAACGCACAACATAGGCCAAGACGGTCCTGCGTGTGTCTCTTGTGAGGCTTCCACTGAAAGGCTGGAGACAGGGGAAATGCCCTAGCCGCCGCCGCCACCTAAAATAACCCAAAGAAAATCTCCTTTCCAATTCTAGACGGAATTATGAAACCCCCAAAACTTATTCACGGGGTGGGGAAGCCGAGAACGGATACCCCCCCCCCTCCCGGTCCTGCCCCTCTCACCAAGGACAGGTCTTGTTCATTTACACAAGCGGTGAGCGGTGTGGATCCGATGTAAACAAAACGCTGCCGCTCCTGCGCCGGACGCCGGGCTGCTGCACACCAACCGGCGAGGCGGCGAGGGGAGGTGGAGGCCCAGGGCAGCGTCGAGCCCGAGCGAGGTCGCTGTTGCTTATTCCGCCTCACTGGAATGCGGCCGCCCGGACTCGCTCCAATAATGATCATAACCGAGGCCTTGTGAGCCGGAGGGAAAGCGCGGGCCTCTCTCCGAATTTTATCTCTCTCTGGGCTCCCCTCGCCCCCCCCCCCCACACACATAGCTTAAAGCGAAGGGAGGCGGGAGAGGAAGCGGCCACTGTGTGTGTGTGTGTGTGTGTGTGTGTGTGTGTGTGTGTGTGTGTGTGTGTCCTCATAAGGCAAAATAGCTCGATAAAATATGACGAGAGAGATAGGCAGTCTGTCGCAAGCCAGCAATCGCTACCGGATTGTCTCTTTACCCAGCTGTGAATAGAGACCTAGCCCAGTGGAAGCAGATTTCAGGGCAGAATGGAAACGCAGACCCATACCCCCTTTCGCTGTCATATTAAAAAAAAAAAGAGCATCATCGCGCGTGCAGAGAGTGAGGAGATTCCTGTAATGCAAAGCGGCCCTGACCTTGAAGGGAACCGTCATGTAACACCCGAGAATCCAGCCCAGTGCCTCCTCGCCAGCACCGAAGGCCTCTCCCGTCCCTTCCCTTATTTTAACATTCCCGACTCCGCTGCGGCTGTACGGCTAAGGAGTGGAGTTTTGCAGGCGCCCCGAAGGGAACAATGGCGTTGGACCTTGACGCCTGGAGGAGAGGGGGAGAGAGTGCAGGGCTTCCCAGATCCTCTTCGGCGCTTAAAGGCAGATTTTGGGTTTGTTTTTTTTTTTTACTCCCGCGCTTATTAGACCCGCTTGATGAGTACAAACTGAAGTAATTCGGGCAGTTTCGTGCTGTAGAGAGAGAGAGAGCTCCAGCCCCAACAACATGAAACTACCTAAATCACCGACCAGTTCTCAGCCGCCTATTTAAGAGGGCTCCCCATAGCCGCTTTCCTTAGGCAAAAGGATCCCGCTATAAAAAAAACAACAAAATAAATACAAACCAGCAACATGACTCCAACAGCCCCCTCGCCTCCCCCCCTTCCTCCTCCTTCCCACAGCAGTCGCCATCCTCGTCTACAGTCTCCCCACCACCACCTACTTGGTTTTCTTTTTTGCTTTTAATGTACTGCTTCAGTAGAAATACCCCTGACATTAAATCCTTTTTGGAGAAATCCTCGTGCAACTTAAAAAAAAAAGATTAAAAAGGCAGGCGGTGGACTCTAACCATGATTGTAAGCAGTCAATGACTCTCAAGAAAGATGGCCGGGTTCAAAGTCTATTTCTTCCCTGAAAGAAACAATTGGCCTGGCCATTGAAGCTTCCATTTTCTCTCTCGCTGTCTCTCTCGCTCACTCACTCTCAGTCTTTCTCTCTCTCTCATCCTCCTCCCGTTCGCCTTTGTGGCGGGTTCTTAAGAGACAGGCGGTGAGGCAGACCCTCAAGGCAACTTGTTCTGTCTAAGCGCATCCGCATGCAGCCAGGTAGGAGACGTACAAACATGGCGGACAAGTTGGACGACAAAGAGAAGAACTAGATCTTCGTTCCCTCGTGCTCACCTTTTCCGATTTCTCTTTGAGCCCTCTAGGTTTTCCTTTGAAGGTGCAACATAGCTCAGCCCCTATGCCGGGATAGTCTAACATTCACAAGAATGGAAGGGGGGGGGGGGAGTAAATAAAACAAAATGGAAAGCCAGTTCCTTGCACTCAAAGCAACGGCCCCTTGGCTTCCTCTGCCTGTGCAGCTTCTCACTCAACTGAAACCACCCGTCCAAGACAGCCACAATCCAGATATACTAGCAAGTCATAAAACTGAACAAAAGCCGACAAACCTTACAGCACCATTGCTATATGGCCCAGACAAATTACGACCGTCTAGGTAATATTTAAATAGATTCCTAAAGTAATTGCAGGGGACTCGGGCAAAGTAGTCCTGTTGTAAAAGTTCCTGGAGATCTAACGTAAGAACCTGAGAATAAGCAGTCACAAAACGAGGGTTTTTTTTTTTTTCCAAAAGGGGGATTCATTCCACTTCTTTTTATTTTTCTAAGAGAACATAAAACAGCATCGTCATATTTTTGTTGTTGTTGTGTTTTTCGTTCCACGCACAGCAGGATTACAATATTAATTTATTTCAGATTTAAGGTAAGAACGAGAAACAGATAGAGCTAACATTTAGAATAACGATATAGAATGCATTTGCTTCCAACAGTCTCGGCATTTTAATAATATTAATAATATTAATATTAATAGACATTTATACATATCTGTATTTATAGATATTTTTCTTCTCTCTCTTTGCACTACACGCTTGACCTTCTCAACGCATGTAACTTCACAGTATCAAAGGAAATCGGGCACCCTTCCCCCTCGCTTCCTGGCCGAAAATGTTTCTGGTGGAATATATGTATATATGTATAGCAAAACACACTCCCTCACAGACAGAAGAAAGCGATTTCGTTTCTTTTTCCTCCAAGACCTGGAAGACGAGTCTTTTAACATTTTTTTTTTGTATGTGCTTGTCCAGCATAACTAGGGATCACCCAACCTATCCAGAATAAAAAAGTCTTTGCCTATAACTAGAAAGTATCATTATTCAACCAATTAAAAACGACACAAACTTTTCCCTGTCTTTCAGTGGGGAGGAACGTTGTAGATTCTCGCTTTCGTGGACGCTGTAATGTCAAGCATATGGGCCCCCCCCCAAGAAACCCACACTCTGCGCAGGCTTCGCTGCTGGACATCCTAGGAAACCCGCAATGGTCGGCTCTCGATATAAGCTGCAACAGCCCCCACCCCACCCCCCACTAAAGAAGCGGAGTGACCAAATTTAAAAGACTGAAACTCACTCTCAACCCACTCCACAGATTCGTCTTATCTTTGGAGGGGGGAAATACAATTTGCCTTCCCCTAAGTTTGGCTCAGTTTTCTCAAGGGGGGGGGGGAAATCAGTATCTAGAGTTCTGGAAATGCCGTTTCTCAGCGTCAGAGTTTTCAAGACCCGAGAATGAAGCAAGGGCAATACAAGACGCGGGGCGACGTGCATCATTATGGCTTTATCCCAACGAATCAGTGATCAGGAGGCTATGGAGAGGCTGAGGGGAAAAAACAGAACAAAAAACAACCGAAATCGAAGCGTTCAAATCCATACAGGTGAGAGTTAGCTAAAGGCAAAAACAAAACAAAAAAACAAAAAAACAAACCCAAAATGTTTCTGGCTCTCGAACCCATGGAGGGGCGCCTGTCGGTTCATCAAGAGAAATTAAAGTTGGCTGTGAGCTCCCGAATCCTATTCTCCCTGTTCATTTTCTTCAGTTTCATTCGGCGGTTCTGAAACCAGATCTTAACTTGTCTGTCTGTGAGGTGGACGGTGCGGCTGATCTCTAGGCGACGCTCACGAGTCAGGTACATATTGAAGAGAAACTCCTTCTCCAGCTCCAGGGTCTGGTGCTTGGTATAAGGGCATCTTTTCTTTCGGCCACTTTTCGCGGTGAGCCAGTTGGCTGCATTCTCTCCTTTGGAATTGCCTAGTTTTGAGAAAGTAAGAAAGGGGCATTACCAAAAAGACACCAGGACAGGGGGAGGCAGGGACCCACGACGTCCCAGTGCCTCTTAGGGGGTTTCAGTGAAGGCAGGGCACGAGTTCCCTCTGCTCATGGGCCCTTTCGGGGGTCCCTCTTGAGTCCTAGCCTCCCTAGAGTGCAGCCAGAACATTCCCGCCTAAGGACTTGGTTCCCCTGCGCTCTCCTGCAAAACTCGTTTTTGGAGTTGACGCCGATCCTGGCGAGTGCCTTTGGCAGTGGCGTCCTGCCGGTCTCCGATTTCCCTTTCATCTGAAGGATTCGCTCCTCAGGCGTTTGACTCAAGGCAAAAACCCGGGATATCTGGATATTTATCAATCCAGAGGCGCTACTAAATCAAAAGCCGCTCCGCTGATAATCGAAATCTGACCAACGCCAGTCCAATCAATGAAAGCTGGAATTTCAGGTACCCTGGTTTACTCGGGCGTGAAACCAGTTTCATTCAGCAGAAGATACCTGCAGAGAGACATGCCTGCTGTTGGGCTATAAATTCCCTTTGTCTGTGTTATGACTTTTTGGCCATTTAGTGGTAGGACAGTTACGTTTCCAGCAACCAACAGTGAAATCTCTGTTTATGCCTCTACGTGTGAGACAGAAAAGAGGTCCCATCTTTCTATAGATACGTAATGCATTCCCAGGTCACATCAGAGGGGCAGACATGTCACTCTGTTGTGGCACCCTGAAAGCGTTTCAGGGAAGTTGTTTCTTTTTTAGATGAAGAATGGAATAACTTCGCCTTTAAGGTACCAAAAGACTGCAGTATATTTTTACACCTAACTTATGTCCCATTAGATACAGTCTCAGAATCGCCGGTGACCAGTAAAGCAGAAAACCCTCTCTGAAAACAAGTTTAGATTTCTTTGGGGGAGGGGGGGAATGGACCGGGAATCTCCGGCACACGCCCCACTGAACAGGGTCCCTGCGGGGGCTCTTCCCCGGCTCCCAGCGGCCCTGGCGCAGAAGGGCCCCACTCTGTTGCGCCCAGCCTGGATTCATAACAGCAGCCCTTGTTGTGCGTTGAAGGACATTCGCCCCGCCTGATTTGATCGCACTTCATAGAAGGAGGATTTCAGCCCAGCTGCTTTCTTTTCAAAGAGGCATTCAGGATCGTAAACTAGAACTTAGCCTGTTAATGGGTTTATTTATTGGCGCGGGCCTCTTGCTTACTTTGGACGCTCTACAAACATCTATGTTATCTCTTCAGGCCCCGCTGCCTCGCTCGGGGCGCCCCCCCCCCCCCCCCCCCACCCCCCAGTTTTGCTGAGCACTGGCTTCGCCCACGGCCCAGGGCACCAGGGTTTAGAGACTCGAAGGGACGGGCATCAGCACATAAGCACTGCGCAAATCTAGCCACGGCATCTCAGCTCCCAGACAGGCCCGGGCGGTTCAGGAGGTCAATTTGAGGGGCTTTGTTTGAGAGGCGCCGGTCCAGCGCTCGTTTCACGGCGGATCCTGTCCGGCTCCGGAGGGCCGGTTTTTGCTTACCTAGGCTTTCCTTCTCCGGGGAGGGCTTGCCGCTGTCCGAAGGAGCCGGGGACAGCTCTTCTGCGGTGGAGGAGGACGCGGGCCCTTCGTCCTCCCCCCCTTGGGAGACGCCAGTCAAAGTGGCGGGCGGGGAGGACTCTTCGCTCTCTTTCCTCGGCGCTTCTGGCGGCGGGACTGCCGGAGGCAGGGCGGGAGGCGTCTCAAAGCGCACCGGGGGCTGCGGGGCGAACTGGGCAGCAGCCATTTGCCCCGGGTGCTGGTGATGCTGCTGCTGGTGGTGGTGGTGGGGTGGGTGGTGGTGGTTGCTGCTGTAGCCGCTGCCGCCGCCGCTCTTGGCGGTGCCATAGGCTTGAGACAGGCGGAAGTAGCCTGGCACGGGTACCCCAGCGGTCACGTTGTTCATGGAGCAGACCTCGGAGTTTAGCCGGGGGAAAGTCGACAGGTCGGTGGCCGCCGCCTCTTTGGGGCCTTTGTCGGAGTCATAGAGGCAGTAGGAGTTCTCCTCTTTAATGCTAGGAGCGAAAGAGCACGAGGTCGCCTGCGGGCTCTCCGGCTCTTCCATGCGGCAAGACCTTGGGGGATCTAGCCAGACTTCCATCCCTGACATGTAGGCGTGAGAGGAGGGGACAATGCTTTGAGGAGGACCTTCATTGCGTTTGCCCAGCACGGGGAACAGTCCGTAGCTTTGCAGCCCATAGGACAGATCGGACGTCTGCGGCAGGTAGACACTACTGTTGTTGGGATAGTAGCCGCCGCCGCCGCCGCCTCCTCCTCCTCCTCCAACTCCACCGCCGCCGCCGCCGCCTCCTCCTCCTCCTCCTCCACCTCCTCCTCCTCCTCCACCACCACCACCTCCTTCCCCTCTGCCTGAGGCTGAGCTGATCAGGGAGTCCACCAAAAAAGAGTTTGCAGCCGGGCTCTCCGAGCATGCCATAGTCGGGGAATAATTTGGCGAAGAGAGCAGATAGCCCTTTCTGGCTGACATTTCTTGTGCAAAACATGCTGAATATGATTAGAGATACCCCCGCGCCACGGCAAGTGCGTGCAGCCAATGGAAAACCGGCCTCCACCAGCAACCCCTCCCAGTTTGGTTTCGTAGGCACTGAGCTGCTCCTCAGGGCGACTTCTGAATTTCCAATATATCTATATCTGTGTATTATACAGGTATAGATACAGATATAGTCGGTGGAATCGATGTCCCTGCTCGGTTGCTGTGGTCCGCCTACAAGGAAGGGGGGAAGCCTGCACACCGAGCCGAGACACGGGACACACACACACACACACACACACACACACAAATTCGAAAACAATTTGCTCCACATTAATGGGACCCATAATTTAAGAAACGCCTATTAGCATACGTGCTAATGTAACAATGTGAAAGAGCAGGACAGTTATCCGGTCTTCTGTACCTGAAGTCTGTTCCCTGCCTTTCCAGAATTCTTCTTGGTCACTGCGCAGCCAACGCCTTTGATGACATTAATAAAGCCACCAAGCCGCAATGGATAGAATTCGGCTAGGCTCTGGGACCTGCGCTTGCTTACCTACTTCAGCTTTACCAGGTATCACGGGCCACTGAAGGTTCTGAACCCACCTGGCCCCCTCAAGAGCACTGAAAGGCTAGGGACACCATAAAGCCACCGAATGACTCCTCCAAATGTCAGCTACTATAACGGAGAGAAAGCTCTTGCTTTTTGAGGCGGACTTGCACCGGAGTCCTTATTGCCTGCATTATGCAGACGAAAGTCTCACTGTCTTCAGTAGCGTGTGTGTGTGTGTGTGTGTGTGTGTGTGTGTGTGTGTGTGTGTGTGTGTTACTTTCCCCCTAAGTCTGCCTAGGATTGTGGCCTCAGAGATGAAGTGTCTTTTTAACCCCAAAATGTTGAGCAACAAAGAAACAATTTTGTCTGGGGC